TATATACTAGAACAACTATTCACCTCAGTGTCGGTGGTTAGCGGTGGATATTTACCGAGCCGCGAAGCGGCTCGGTAAATATCCACCACCAACCACCTCCACTTCGGTGAATAGTTGTTAAATATCCCTGGATTGAAATAGTAGGGGAATTTTCGATTCAAATAAAATATTCGTGGAAATCAGAGGACTGTGGAGTGAAATAAGACCCGCCAAATTGACGAATTACAGTGTACGTTCTAACTGAGAGGCATAATGATTGAATTGTAACGGAATTATTAAATATTCGTCCCCGTTTACCAATGGTAAAATCACTAGAGTATTCCAAACCAGAAAAAAGAGAACGCTGTATGACCATCAATAGATACCCGCCATGTTGGATAGAACTAGTTTACTGAAATAACACTTGATATAGTGTAGGTTTGCACCGCGTGCGGAGGATACTACAAACGTCTTGTCTAAAAGATGAGAAAGTTATCAGCTTATCAGGTCAGGTTACGAGCCGTTTAAGTTTAACATCTTATCACTAAATCCAAATTTTTTTTGTGTATAGACATGTTCGTCCTTTCCGTGAGATAATCTCTCTTGACAAGTGGGAAATTCTTCCCAATCAAGTACATTATGAGGAAGAATTGGGACGAGGAGCGTTTGGTGTGGTTTACAAAGCGACTCTTACCAGAAGAGCTGGAATAGAAGTGTTTGAAACAAGAGAGAGACTAGAGCCAGAAAAACAATCTCAAGTCGTTGCGGTAAAAGTATTGCAGGGTAAGTAGAAATAGCGGATAAATACTGTGCAAAGTGTAATTCGTAGTCGCCAAGAAAAGGACTGCTGTATCAGGGAACCAAAAGTTGACTAGTAGATCTTGTAAAGTTTCCATTTAACATGTTAAGTTTAAAGAGTCTATGCCACGACTCGCACACGCAGTGTAGTAATTGAGGAACTAAGGAATCCAAAGTTCTGTCGGCAGCTATTCCCGTCGTGTTTCACTATTTATATTCAGTTATTCAATCTTAGGATGTTTTACGAAAGCCAAAAAGCCTAAAATTGGCCTCACAAACGCTGAAGGCATTACTACTATCCATCCATAGGTGAATTAAGGCTGATAGTTTCAGAAGAAACTGTTTGGGGCTGCGTCGGTGGGGGTAACAAAATAATTTGGATATATCAACAAAGTTGAAATGGTAAATTGGCGACCGTAAGGATTAGACACGCTGACGTTTCGAGCGTTAGCCCTTCGTCGGAGCGAATGGGCTAACGCTCGAAACGTCAGCTTTTGTAATCGTTACTGTGGCCAATTTAGCATTTTAACTTTGTTGATATATCCAAATTACATCCATAGGTGACCCAAGCGATGAACAGAGAGAAGCTTTCCGGCATGAGATATTACAAATGAAGGTGTTAGGTTCACACCAGAATGTCGTGTCTTTGGTTGGATGTTGCACTCTGCAGGAAACCAAGTTTCTGGTGATAGAGTACGTTCCGTATGGTGACCTGTTACAATGGTTACGGCAAAAGAGGCGATCGGTAAGAGGAAGGAGATTTGCTTGAGCAAGGCTAATCCTTTGTTATTTCGGTGCCAATGGAAAAAGAAGAGGTTTTATTATCGGCTATGTAGTACGTGTTGGTAGATTTTGAATAAAAGAAATAACAACTCTATCTTCTACGCCGAGTCTGTACTTATGTATCTGATAAAAATCATGCTCATTACACTTCAGGTCATTAAAAATCAAGCCCTCGGAGGAAAGAAGACGGAAAAGTTTTATGAAGATAGATACACTTCCAGTGATGAGTCGAAGAGATGCGAACCTGCTAAAGTAGGTATTTTGTTACAAGTTACTTGTCTATTAAATTTTGGCAGTTTCGTTTCTAGGAAGGGTTTTGCGAGGTGAGTCGCGGTAATTGAGCGTATCTATAATGGATTAGCACAATGGAGTAAAATCTCCCATTCTGACTAGCTAACGAAGCGAGATATTTTACGCGGAATTGTGAGTTAAAAGCAAGGCTAAGTGATTCTGTATCGTAGCTCTTGTTTCGCGCTCAGGACAAAAACAAACAATATTATTGCTGTTGTCTTTATTTCTTTTTTATTCAATTATGCGATTAAATGAAAACCCATTACCTGACTCGTGAATTCCGCGTTAAATTGTACTTGAAAACCAATACCGCACTCATCGCTTTGTGATTCGTAGGAAATCGGTTTTTGCGTACAATTTAACGTGGAATTCCCCCGTCAGGCATTGAATTTTCCAGTATCCATTATTCCGTCCGTGGAATTGAAATTTGGAATTGATGCTTAATATTACACAGAGATACTGAAGAAAATGATTATTCCTCTAATGTTACCCCCCTCCCCCTCTTCCCCCTCCCCCCCTCAGAAAAAGAAAGGGACAAAATGAGGAATTATTTTACTTGAGAGGGAAGCAAGGCTTCTTAATGAACAGGCCCTTCAGGAAAACTACTTTACCTCCACAAGTACGGTTGGGAAAGGAACATTAAGGCAGCTGATATAACTCGGTAACTCGACGCAATTTCAGCCGCTTTGCATGGACTAGGAGTGAACAGTTAATACCTTTTACTGCTTTTATGTTTCAATATAAAGTAGGCCCGATATCAAGCATTTATGGCTTATCTCCTTTCGAAGTAGGACATAGGAAGCCATCTCACCACGAACCTAAATCTATCACTGAACATTAATATTTATCCTTTTATTTATCACTCAGAAAAATTTTGACAGGGATATGAAACAAGAAAATATCGAATTAATGTCGATGCCATCCGGTTCAGGTTTCCATAACCACGGTGCTGTTATTTCGCTGTCCACGGTGAATTTTGATGAGAGAAACCCTAGTGGCGTAAATGATGACATCAGTGTCGATGGTTTCTCTACTCAACAGCTGTTTTCGTTTGCTTGGCAAGTAGCAAAAGGAATGGTAAATGGATAAATGAAATCAGAAGTGACTGTGGGCTTACATTCGAGATAACCTTACGCAGACAAATGCAACCCTCACCTGAAGGTCATTCTTGACATTATTTTATATTGTTTACAGTTACACCTATCTCAGCATTTTTTCTTCTATTCTTTTTTTCCAGAATCACCTTGCCGAAAATAATTTCGTTCATCGTGACCTTGCTGCTCGTAATATCCTTGTTGGTCGTGACGGACGAGTGAAGGTGTCAGACTTTGGGTTGATGCGCCAAGTGTACGAAGACGTCTACAGCATAAAGAAAACCAAAAAGCTCCCAGTTAAATGGATGGCACCGGAGAGCATCTTTGAGGGTGTTTTCACTATCAAGAGTGATGTGTAAGTAGACTGGAGTTGTTACAGAGTGTGGTGTTTCTGTTTCAGCAAATTGTCTCTTTTCTTTGTTTACTACTTGTTTTTCAGTCTTGCTCAGAGATGGCGCAAGTACCAATTTAATGATTTATGTTTAAAATTTCTCGCAGTTGGTCTTATGGAATTTTTCTCTGGGAAATGGCTACCATGGGTAGGTTAAAAAAGCTATACTCGACAGAGTATGTATTTTTTTTTCTCATTATCGTTCTCCATGTTGTTTAAGTTCTTTGTTTGTCACTGCATTCAAGTTTTTTTCTTCTGTTGCAATGAAGGCGGTGCCCCATACCCTACGTTTACCAATAAAGAGCTCTGTAAACTTCTAAAGAATGGCTATCGCATGGAAAAACCTGATATGTGCTGCGATGAAGTGTGAGTAAAATTTTACTTTCTGATGTTTCCATCGTGCTTGTTTTTACTCCCATTGCTAACAACTTTGCTTTTTTTATTGTCTTTCACCCAAGCATATAAGTAAAAAAGTATTTCATTTTCATACTGAAAGATACGAACTAATGACGTCATGCTGGGAGGAGGATCCAACAACTCGCCCCAGTTTTTCGGGATTCATTGACAAACTAGAGGCTTTAATGACGAGGGATGTAACATACTGTGATCTGTCAAATTGCGATGAATCAAGTCCATACTATAACATACAGGACACAGAAGACGAAGGCAGCGGATGAGATATCTAAACAAGGGTTGACGCTCGGTCATCATCAGTTTTAGAAGATGTCACTACCTCCCGGTTTCTTATCCGTATCAAGAAATGGGCCATTGTTGTGCGTTAAATTCGACTTCACATTGTTAAACATGGAATTAAGTATTTCGCGGAATGAGTTAATTTATATTTATGTTTACGTCATTCATCGCTGTAATGTAAAGTTTAGAGAAAGGATCAGTCTTCATTTATTAGCTGTTACATTACAAAAGTTGGATTGCCGTTACTATAGTTGATTCTGGGAGACATGAAGCATCATGAGTGTCGCAATTTGTTTGAAAGCTACTGAAACTAGTATTAATAGTATTGTGTTTATCTCTATAAAGAAAAAAGTAAATTAAAGATGGTAAGTTGCAGAACATATCTCCGATGGGTCATTTTTGAGCTCATTTTTAATCAATGAAATGTTGACGAATGTCATTTGTATGCAAGTTAAGGAAAACAATTCGATATAGACATGTTAACATCAAGGCAAATATCCCACTCCGTCGGATTTCATTCTCCTTTCTGCTGCTTAGAATGACTGGGAGACAAATGATCTCGCGTTCGGTTGAAAGGGATGGGTTCGGGAAGGAGCGCGGGCTCCGGTTCCCGAACAGCGGCTGTAATCGAGCCTACGACTCGGGTGGAAACTGAAGAACGCCAGACTTTCACAGCAGATCAGTTGATGTTCGTAAAAAACGCTTGCGAACTTTGGGTGTCATGCTGAGAAAGTATTCCAAAATTGTTTTTTCTCAAAATATACTCGTGCGGGAAATTTTATTTTCCTACTTAATAGTAGGCTACAATGAACTTGTGTAAACATTTTCCTCACGATAGGGATTTTCTATACCACATTATGTGCTACGGTTTGAAAAATGTTAATTTAATTAACAAAATTTTGATGTTGGTTGTAATAACTTGATAGTTTTGACTGCACTTTTCGTTTCGCTCATGAACAGGCCGGAACACTATCGCTATGTGAGGGCTTGTACATGTGGACTATCCCTGCCTAAACGGATGATGATCGTTGAAAAGTTTCACCAAAAAAAAAGTCTTGAGGACAAGCTGTTAAAATAATACACTGTGTGCTATCTCCTTTTTTTTTTAATGTAAAGTCATTGCAAATGGTATATTTCAATGCGACTTTTCGTTTTATTGCCCCATTGCAAGTACAATGGCTGGAAAATTATCAATATTTTTACTGTGTACCAAATGTTAGTGTTCTTTGGAGGAATGACCCCTACTGGTTTCGGTAGACCTGTCTTTTCCCCAGAGAGTCTTCAATGAATGTTTGTGGCTGTTTAACAAATGTTGCTGTTCTTCAGAGGAATGATCCCTTCTGGTTTCTGTAGAACCGTCTTTTCCCTTTATCCTATAAGTGGGAGTCTTCATGGTGAACACAGTGCCATCACTGTTTTTACATTCGCCAACAACCTGGTAAACTGAGACTTCATCACCTGGCTCAACGGGTATGGATATTTCACTGGTCACTTGCTGAAATTCTGTCCTTGTGGAACCCGTATTCCAGTTGTGACCTGTTGTATGTGATACGCCAAACTTAGCTGAGAAGACGTTCATTACTTGGAACCCGATCTCGCCTGACACGGTTGTGCTGCTGCTTCCACCGGTGGATGAAGTCTTGGAAGATGACATTCCTTTGGTGATGATCACCTTCTTGGTAGCAGTTTGAGTTGAGTGCTCATTTATCACTTTCTGCAAGAACTCCAGCTTTAAAAAAAGCAGAAGCAGATTTCATAATAGATATCTAGAAGCTTGTAGTGGGTTATTTTCGCGCAACCTAATAGTAAACAAACTTGACTCGAGAACAAGAGATCCGGATTCAAAACACAGTGAGTAGCCACTAACTGTTTATAGAAATTGAGAATTTGTGGTCACCAAGATACGTTGGACTGGCTCTCCGTCTAGGAAACCTCATGCAATAAAAACCGGAAAAGACCTGGCAGAGAGGGGGTGTAATGCTTGTAGATTTTTCATTGAGTTACTATCATTCAATAAAAGACTCCTCTCCGCCCTCCCCCC